ACAAACGCTTTCGTCGTCATTGTATTGTTTAATTAGTCAAACAGCAATAATTTGTTCCATCATTATAACAATTCTCTCTCTCTCTCTAAGAAAAGGTCTTTTATCTTTTATTATTAAAAGATACATGATATATTTAGGAAATATCTAAACTTTTTTTTTTTTTCTTTAGTCAACATAGAGCGAGCTAGCTGGTCACATCAACATTGGATTGTAGACTTGAAAGTTGGATATGACTATAAACCCTTCAATTCTTGCCGTGAAGAGTTATAGTTATAATTGATTGGTCCCCTAATCTTCATCATATAAAGAATTGTTTTCTTGCAAGTGATAGGATGATGGTGACCAATTGACATGGTGCATCAAGTTCATAAAATAAAAGAAAATAAAAATAACAAAGACTTTTTTTTTTTACCTTGCTCCTGTCATCATTATTCTTATTGTTTAATCCAAACAATCTGTGGTTATATCGCATGATGGGTTATGAATGCTTCATTGGTCAATTGGTGTTGCAGGAAACAAAGGTAGGAGTGGACTTTGATGATCACTTCATGCATCATTGTGATGCTTCTTCTTCTTCTTCTTCTTCTTCTTCTTCTTCTTCTTCTTCTTCTTCTTCTTTGTCATTAAGCCGACCAATGGTGCGTCTTATAAACATTCTCCCATTCGACATCCTTACGACAGTCAAAAAGACGAGCCTTCATCGGAGGGGTTTGCTTAGCTGCTCCCAGACGCGTTGACCAGATCATCGCGTCTTTTCACATGGAATATGGAGGAGGATGATGAAACAGCATGTCCTTCTCCAACGTGGCTCCAAATCAGATGGTTCCCAAGAAAAGATGACGCGTGTTCGTTCGATCGATCGATCGATCTCTGAGTTGACCATCTCTCTCCCGTTTGCCGACTCATTGCCATGTGTTGTTCCCCACGACAATTTGCAGCAGATTACAAGTCGAGGCCTACCTGTTTGACCTTCTTGGCGCAGGAGTTGACGTTCAAGTTGGTGCCATTTAAATTAACTTTGCTAACCAATCTATGCCGTGCTTCTCTCTCTCTCTCTTATCCACCATCATCCATCCTAATATTAATTAGTTTTGTTTAATGAGAAATAAGCATCATAATAAGTCATCAGGCGAGCATATCATAATAAGGTAGGTAGGTCGGTAGGTATCGATATACAGACCAAGGTAAATTGAATGATACGCATCGTATGAGATCATGGTACATGATTTGTATGGCTTGATACATACCCTATATTGGGTTAGATACGCTCGGGGGGATCGATACAGTGCAATACCGAGATGACCAGATAAATACAAGGTGATGGATGATGATACATGGTCGGTCTTCTTTATTGGGTAATTTTCTTTCCTAAAGCTTTTCTTTTCAATAATAAAAAATTTGGTATATCAATATACTAATTTTAATATATAAAATTGATAAATAGATAGATAAACGTTGATCCAAGTATAGTATATTAGGGAGAAGCAATTGATGGTATGTTAAGGAGAGTTTCCAAGAAAGAATAATGAGCACATAATTACTTGCCACTCTTAACACGCCGAATCCTGCAGGCTTCGACTCGGAACTCGGAATCCCACTGAGTCGACTCGGTGGTGGAAATGAAGCATCATAGTCTCTTCTAACGAGGGAACTAAATAATGAAATTTATGGATTCAATTAAAATCTGCTCAAAATATTTAGTAAGTAAATTAAAGTCGTACATCTAATCTCGACGAGGACAAAAAAAAAAACATATGGAAAAATAGTAAGAGATAAAATATTTATTTTTCTTTTCAAAAAAATAAAAAAAATGTATTGCATTATGCTTATGATTAGATTAACTATGAGATCTATTACCTGTACTACAACAGCAATGCATTAACCGATCCGAATTTTGAGAGACGTCAAACATTTGTTCTTACCGCCACCATCGCATTAGACGTCACGTAAATAAGCACAAGGCAATCTCACAAGCACGACTGGCTCGGCTCCGAGTTGTACTTGACTCGTCCGTCGACACGACAAAACACGACCTTCCATATTTGGCTCGAAATCTTAAATGAAATCTATAAAGGCGTCGATGTGTTCGTGTTTGCTGATTAGATTCTTTCGCCGCCTCATCGTTGTGTTCTTTGCCGTTTGGCTCTTCTTCTTTCTTTTCTTCCAATCAGCAAACGCAGGAGAAACCTGTAGAATTTCTCGTGATTTGGTTCTCCGCCGCATCTGTTGCCGCGTACACCCTCGAAGATCGATCTTTGTTGGTGATCTTATCGTGTTCTGTTGTTTTTCCTGCCCTTCTCTTTGTGTTTTCTTCCTCTGGTTTCGTAAAGAAAAGAGACCGGTTTCCGGGAGCCGTGAGTGGCGGCCAAGAGGGAAAGCGAGAGGAAGAGGATGCTGTATTTGAAGCAGCCATGGAGGAACCTGGAGCTGCGGCGGCGGACGCCCTGACCTCAGGGGCTTCGGATGTCCAAGTGATGTCGTCCGATCCCGGGGCGCGGGCTCCGGACGGAATGGCAGCAGATGGAGGAGCCGTGGCTCGGAACAACGACGAGCCCAACGACGCCAGCTTCTACCTGCACGTCTTCGAGCTATACGAGACTCAATCTGTAAGAAAGTTGACCAAAGAATCGGTTTTTTTCCCCCCCCTTCTTCCAGTCTTTCTTGGTTCTTGATTCGTGGTCGCTTCCTCGCTGCTTAGTCAGTCCCATTGCTCGTTATCTAAAGATTCAGTTTTGTGTTTCTTTTGGTTTCTTTGATGGTACTCGATCAAACTGTGACATTTTTCTCGACATGTCTGAAGCCATTTCAATTCTTGATTTCTTTGGTTGCATCCAAATCCAAGCAAAGTCAACTGTCATGTAGGAAAATTTTGCTACTAGCTCATTCATCGGTTTCTTTATTTGGTGATGATTATAGGTGCTTCTTTTAGACTCGAGTTATATGGAGTTTAGTTGTCTTGGATTCCGTGTCTCGCTTTTCGATATTTAATCTTTGTTTCTCTTGGTTTTTCGCAATAGTTAGTGTTAATAGTCACCATGTCGCTGACATTTTCACCCATAATAGACTCCACTGGAAGACTTATTTTGTACTATAGTTAGTTTTGAGGTTCTATATCTCTTTCTGTGCAAATTATAAATTATTTATCATGTTAATTTTCTAGTATTAGTTTTAGAGGGATTGATCAGAAATTGTCATGATTAAGATCAAATCATCCTCTATGAGATTCTTAAGCAATTCTCATTTACAAACATTTGAACCGATGATTATGAGTTCCAAGATGTAGATGCACCCTGCTCAAATTTTCTGCTTGTTCATTGTTTTAGGATTCTTCCTACCAAAATATTTACACGTAGTTTGATGCTTAACATTGCAGAACTTTTATATGATCAGAAAGAACAGAACATCATGGAGACTGTTAAAGATTGGCAGGTTGAGAGCTTCAGAACTTAATATCTGTCAGGAGTCCACCACATACACTGAAAGTGAATGTAAAGAGTTGCTAAATCGAATACATGAAGAAAACAAGTCGACTGGCGGACTAAAGTTTGTCACCGACTGCTATGGCATTGTTGGTTAGTGCAACCCCAATTCATTATCATTCCATGTGGTAGTTAGTATTTTTCATTCTGAACAAGATTGTGATGAAGAATGTTTTTTCTATCAGGATTTGTAAAGTTTCTGGGGCCTTACTACATGCTCCTTATAACTGAAAGGGAGGAAATTGGAGCTATACTTGGTCACACGATCTATGCTATCACCAAGAGCAAAATCATCGCACTACCAAATTCAAGTGTCCAATCTAATATGGCCAATTCTAGAGAAGAGCGCAGGTTTTTCTCTTTTCACTGCATGTAGTACAAATGTACAATATATATGGTACTTTTGTAGGTGACTCTAACTTTTATTATTTCTAAAGATTGTTGACTTCGTGTATGTGGAAAAATACTTGTGATATTTTGACATATTAGATGTGTTTGCTATCTAAAATGATATTTTGGAAATTTTGCCTTTTGATTTGCAATCATATGCACCTTATGACATTCACAGTGGATATTTTCATTCCAAATTCTACAATTTTACCATATATAGTTTTTTCCCATTTGTTATTCACTTTTATGAACCATGCTTTTATCGACATTCTTGAAATAATTCAGAATTAGTTACTTTTAGTTATCAAAATAAAATTTGCTAGTTTATTCTAGTAAAAAAAAATATTTTCTTCGTATTTTCACGTCGTTGTTCCTTATTCGGGATTATATTATCAGATGGTAGTTAGATGGTTATTTCATGTATCATATCATTGTTCCTGATTTGGTTTGTAATGTTAATATATAGTTGTATTATTTTTTTTAGGCTATCATATTTTGCACTGTACTGTGCATTCTTGATTATTTATGGAATGTCATCAGAACTAATAGTACATTTGGTCTTAATGATGCAACAGATACAAGAAGCTCTTTTGTACAGTGGACATCACGCAAGGTTTCTTTTTTAGCTACTCATATAGCATCATGCAAAGCTTACAGAAGAATATGTGCGAGGGAAAAACAGGGCAGTTGTTGTATGAATCCATGTTTATATGGAATGAATTCTTGACCCGTGAAATTCATAGCCATCTGAAAAGTACTTTATGGACAGTATATTTAGTATATGGTTTCTTTAAGCAGGTAAAATTTAATTATGTTAGTTTTGCTTTTTATTAAAAAAATTTAACCTTTCTTTCGATTTTATGTTTTCCTATCAACAAAAAGGAAAAAAATTTGATATTACTAATCTTGTTTAATCAATAGGTTTTGCTGAACTCATTACTTATATGCTTTATTTGAATGATTAAAGATTTTGATAAAGCAAGACTCTAGAGGACTAAGGGTCATTCTTCTGTTTTATGTCAATGGAATTGATGACTAGACTTATAGTAACTTATCAATACATCATGATCCCTTAGAAATCTAGATTAACTGACAGCATCAAGGGTTTTGTACACCAACACTATCATATCTCTATTCTCTAATACTGTAAAAAGTTACATAATTAGATAATTAATTTTATTTAACTTTTTAAAATCATGTTAAGAAAAACAATTTCGTTGACAATTTTTTTTTAGTTATTAGATGAGCAACAAATCAAGATGCTATTTGAAGGATAAAATGATCGTTTAACATGCATATCTTGGAGGATCATTCCATGGGGTGTGCCAAATTGTCAATGCCTGTCAGGCATGGTATGTATTGCATTATGCTGATTGCCAGGTTGCTTGTGTCAACTGATGCAGGAGAAGAAATTGCTTGACTAGATGTTGGCCTATCAAGCGTATGATTTCACCTAAGAAGAACCAGATCAATTACAGAAGTGGAAGTTCTATATAGAAACGTAGAGTATATAAAACGACCTTGAAGCTTGTCTTTATTATGGTCAGCAATAAGATTGGAAAGTCAAGCTTTTTCAGAAAGCTTTGTAAAGCCAGGAGTTGGAGGAATAGAAACAAAGACAAATTAAGTTGATATAAAAACAAGTAGAAAGACTTCATTAAGGTTCTAAGGAGTACCTGTTGCATCAAAGATAGAGCTTTCAAGTTTTGGCATTTCTTTATACAGATTGTTATCCTATCTTGAGGAAGTAAAATGCCTATAAATGTCAATTACAAGAATATGGTATGTGAACATCATACTGGTGCATAAGGTTTTACTGCCTTCTGCTTCCTTATTACATTTGGAAATTACCTTATGTTGTTCTTAGGTTTCATTGTGGAGTTAAGAACTAATTACTTTAGTTTCTCTGATTCAGGTGAAACTTTCAACTCATGGAAAAGATTTTTGGTTGACTCTAATTGCTAGGCGCTCACAACACTGTGCTGGGACCAGGTTGTTATATTATTATATTTTAAATCTGTGTTCCATGTCTTCCAACACATGGGATGTAGTAACTCTTATGGTGAAGAGTATCTAAATCTCATTATATCTTAATTGAAGCAAATTGATATATTACTTGTGACTGTGTTTTCTTCTTGCTTTGTCCTTCATTTTTTATAACCCTGTTGCTTTTGTGGATAAGGTATCTCAAGCGTGGTGTTGATGAAGATGGTAATGTGGCAAATGATGTTGAGACTGAACAAATTATCTTTGAAGACATTCCTGGAGAAATTCCAACATGTTTTAGTTCTATAGTCCAGAATAGGGGTTCTATACCTCTTTTTTGGTCTCAAGAAACCTCAAAACTTAATCTGAAGCCTGATATTATCTGTAAGTTCTGAAGTTTGGCAACATGTTTTTGGAAAGCAGTTATCTTACTATTTTTTCCCCTTTCACAGTGAATAAAGATAAAGGTTATGAAGCTACTAAGCTTCATTTTGATAATCTTGCAGAAAGATATGGAAAGCCTATTGTTATTTTGAACTTGATTAAGGTATGTATTTTTATAGTTTATGCATAAAGCACAGATAGGCCAATTTCTCTTACTACTTCCACATCGTCATATTTGACTGATGACCAGTGCACTCGTCACCCTTTTTTCATAGTTATTGTTTTGTTAACAGTCAGAAGAAAAAAAACCTCGTGAATCTATTCTACGTTCAGAGTTTGCCAGTGCAGTTAAGTATGTGGATAAGAACCTATCAGAAGATAGTCATTTAAAGTTCTTACATTGGGACATTCATAAGCATTATCGAAGGTACTTGGCTTCTTCTGATATTTATTGGTCTGATCTGCAATTGCAATATAATTATGATAAGATATTTGTTACAGCAAAGCTAAAAATGTGCTTACAATGCTGGTAGAAGTGGCGGCATGTACCTTAAAGCTAACTGACTTCTTTTACTGTGAAATGGCACCTGCATTAAGATATGAAAGTGACTTAAGATGGCCCACTTCTGTGTAAGTATCTTATGTTGTATGTTCACGTAATTCCATTATTTTCATCCAATATGTTTGTATAGGAAGCATAGTGTTAACTATGTACTATTCTGTAAATTCTTAGAAACTTTTCTATATTAATAATATGTTAAAAGAACACAAATATACTTGTTTATTTTATCCTAGAAACTTGGTTTGTGATATTTTGCTTTTCTTAAATCCTACTTCCTTGTCGTATACCTTTGTATTTCTATTACTCGTTGAACCTTCTAGCTTTCATCTTATTCCACCAAAATCTTTTTGTTCCTGTCTTGTTTATAGTATTATTTTCAACAAATTGTACTTATACAACAACAACAAATTTGTCAAGCCAACATGGTGGTATCAAAGCAAGAAATCTGCTTACTTGAGAAAGATACCATCAATGTATTCAGGTTGTGGTTGTTTAATATGTTTGCACCTCCAAGTATTATTACACATTATGGCTTAAATGTTATGCTAACCTTTTGAGCTTTCACCACACCAATGTCTTTAGGTTCTGTTGTATCATATTTGGTGCTTATTCTTCGAAGTTTTGTATATTGTAGTTTTTTTTTCTTAGTTCTGTTTTAAACATACACAAAATATTTTCGATATATTACTTTGCATATAAATAAATGTACCTGAAGTTTTAAGACCATGATTTAGCTAAGGGCATTTCTGAAGTTCTTCTAGCATATGCAGGCCATTTATTGCAAGCCCTCTTTGCAACACAACTAGTCCCAAATCTAGGCATTGAATGGGTGGTTGTTCTGCATTGGCAATTGTTCATATAGCACATTATGGATCATGTTTCAGAATTTCGAACTTCATTTATAAATGATGAATAATATCTTAAAACCACCTGAATTTTGATTAGATTAGACTTACTTGTAAGATTATATGTGTTCCACTTCATCTTTCCAAAGGGATGAATCTAATTCTCCTAAAATATGAAACTTTAGCAAATCGTTTGATTGCTGATTGCTTATTCATTTTTGAAACATTTGATTTTTTATTAATCAAATCAGCCACAAGAAAAATACATAGACTCTGACTAAAAAGTATTTGTTTCTACAGCATTGGGTCATTATTTCTATGGTTTTTAAAAGAATGAGTTCATTTTTTAAGTTGTCTTGTTTTTTTTATCATAGTTTGTTATTTTTAAACATACTTGCTTTAATGTTCAGGATGGATGATGCTGGTGACCAATCATCGAATAATATTTGCAGCAGTAGCAGCTGCAGCACCACTGACAAAGATGATGTTGATATGCAAGAAAATGGATCTCAAGAAAACATGGATTCTGATATATCTGGATCAGAAACAAAAACAATTGCAGTTAGCAATGGTGGACTTTGTTCAGTTAAATCACTTAGGTGTCAGAAAGGTGTTCTACGAACAAATTGCATAGATTGTTTAGATCGCACAAATATTGCCCAGTATGCCTATGGTTTAGTTGCACTAGGGCATCAACTTCATGCATTGAAATTATCTCCTTGCCCAAGCATTCCTCTAGATGCCACCTTGGCTGATCATTTCATGACATATTATGAGAAAATGGGTGACACACTTTCTCTGCAGTATGGTGGTTCTACTGCTCATAATAAGGTATTTATCCTAAATGAAACTTCTCATTATCATTCCATGTTCCTTGAGAATTGAAGAATCATGTTTATTCCAAGTGTTTCTCAAGATATGTTTTTTTTCTTGCAATTTTATTTTCTTTTAATGTTATTTGAAATCGCTGCATGCATGTAGATTTAGCTTCATGCTGTTTACTGTTTTTGGATCGAAAAGGGTCTGAGCTTTAGATAATATAAACTAGGGCTTCTATGTAATTGTGGGTGCTCCCATCATAATAGCGAAAAGCACAATTCATTTATTTTCCTTCTTTTGTAAAAATATTATCTCTTATTCATATGACATGTTTACTATCTTAATACTCGCACTGAAATGATCATAAGACCAGTGCCTATTTTCAGTTTAACAACATTTATTGGTTACTTGGTAGATTTTTTCTGAAAGAAGAGGTCAATGCAAAGCAACAATCCGATATCAAGAGTTACTCAGAACATTTCAAAGATATTATAGTAATGCCTTTACAGATGTTGACAAACAGGCTGCAATAGATCTGTATGTATAATTTTTTTTTCTGTGAATTTGTTATATCTCATACTGAAAGAAAATTCCAGTTCTTTGGAAAATACAATTGCATAATATTCTGCATAGAGATGCCCACTTTTTGCACTTATTACATACAGATTTCTGGGACGATTTCAACCTCAACTGGACAAACCAGCAATCTGGGAGCATTGTGGTGTTGGGAAGAGTGGTCATGGTTTTACCAATGAAATTTCAAGGTATTGTTGGACGTTTTTTGCATGATACTGGGATGTGTTTTTGCCTTCTCTGAGTTATGATACTGCTTTTTTGCTTATTTATTTTTATTATTGCAGTGGGAAGATTTATTACACTAATGGTTATCTTCATTATTTATGCCATATTATTTAAAAATACCTGGTTATTAGGTATTTCACTTGCCTTTGTTGTCATGTTTTATTATTTTTTTCAGAATAAATGGTTATTTTGTATGGCACGCTAGAAAGATTAGTGCTTTGCTATGCATACATGAAAACGAAGTGAAGCAGGCTACTTATTCATAAGCATCCTCCTTTCCCAACAAATGTATTTTGCAAGTCTGTGACAATCAAACTGCCACTTGGCATACATAACTGATGACATTTTATGCTAGTTCACTTTGGGTACCGTCAAAGATTGTTTGATCTGTCACTCTTCATACTCTGTTCCTAGATGCTCCATGATTTCTAAGTTGAATTGTTCATGACTAACAGAAGGATCTAAGAAGCCCAGCCAAGTTTGTTTAAACTAATGGTTTCATGGGTTGATATGCCAGTGACATATATGGTTTTCCTGGTCTTTTGTATCTGCTAAATGCTGCAGCAATCTTTTGATGTAGTGAATTTATACAGGTCATTTATCAAAAGATCCTTATCTGATGGAAATATACTCCATGAAAGTTATACTCTTCTATCCAGCTGTAGTTTAGTCAGAATGCTCCCTCATCCTCAAAATCATCACAGGTTGGCTACTCAATTTTTCCGTATCCAATCTACAGGTCTAGCTTCAAATTTGTTGCTACTTTTGTAAGCATAGTCACCAAACCACTGTAATTCCCTGTTAAACAGTTATTCCCCATTTTATATACTTAACTACAAAGTGTTCCAAACTTAGTACATTAAATATTTAAAAGATATTTTAGTAACTACTCGCTGGATGTATTAGACGTCTCTTTTCACATCTAAAGATGTGAGGTTTTAAAGGGCTCATCATCTATGACCTGGTTATAAAAAGCGGTTTATGGTCATTTCTATTATTCTATCTTTAAGCTTTCCTTGCATGAGTCTTTACAGATGCATGAGGGAAGAGAATTATTAATATTTTGCTTAATTGTGTCAACAACACTAACTTTTCCTTTTGCCTTGCCTTATAGGTACACTGCCGTGGTGCCTCATGGGCAGCATTTTGCAGAAAGTGCAGATAGTTCTTTGTATAAAGACTGGTACTCAAATTTTCTGGATTTTGAATCAATTTTATCTTCTCGAAGTTTTCTTGAGGGAGAAATGAATGACAGGTAACCCCTGTCTCCTAATCTTCCGTATTCAAGTTAAGGTGGTCATTCTCTTGACTTCTTAAGTACATTGACAAGCCTGAGTGTACTTCACAAGCTCGCGACTACTCGAATGTTGTCTCTTAGTCTACTTTCAACTTAAAGCTGAATGCTGTGCCTCAAACATATCAAAACACCTTATAAAAATGAAAGAAAAGTTAGATTGGAAAAGTCTAGGCATCAAGTGCAATTAAGAGCCTTGGCAGCCACTTTTAACTACATTGATTTTGATATCCATAAGTATGGATTTCAGTATCCTTTTATGCTCATATGATATAGGAATCTTATGCCAGCCAATTATAATGAATTCAGAGTTTATCTGTAATACTTCTGTAAGCTCCTTTCAGCTTAAAATCCTTCTCCAAAAGTGGTGCCTTGGGCAACTATAATATTCTCCTGCAATGGGATAAAGTTCCTACAATTTTAGCTTGTTTATCCACAACCTGAGAAGCTGGTTAACACCATAATTCGAACTTTCTAATATATTCATGCATGTGTTGGTGTTCTATGCAATGCAATTCATCCAGAAAATATAATATTTCTGAGCGTAGTCCCTGCATAGCGTATTTATGCTTGAGGGTATAAAAAACTTGTCATCATGAAAAGCTTGTCATGGGTTTTCAGATCCACATTGAATTCTCCAATTGAAAGCCTTTCTACTCAAAATATTGCTGATGGCAGAAGTAATGAGGCATCCTCAGATCTTGTAGAAAATGGGTCACTTACAGAGGTAAACACTTCTGTCCTTTAGTTGTGAAATCAGTTTTTTCCAGTATAACAAGGAGACCTTTTCAAATTCAGATTTGATTAATCTGTCCAATGAGATTATTTTTCTACTTTAACTCATCATGTTGCACTCATTAACTATGAGAATAAACTTGACTAGTTGAGCTGTGTGAAAACACAAACTCTAACCAGGCTCAACAACATGAAAATAGAAGGAAAAATAATAAATTGTAGCAGTGTGAAAATAGAAGGAATAAAAATAAGTTGTAGTTGTGGCCTAGTGGCAATGGAGTTGAGGCAGATTTATTGTTGGAGAACACAGTATTGCACATAAAAAATGACTCTTTCTGCTATAAAAAACATGCATACTTGGAATGGCATGTGCGCCACACACATATTTGTTGAGAATACTAAAGATGATCTTGATCTTGACAAGTAATTTCTTAAGCAACATTTATTTAATTGATTTTGGTGCCATATCTCATTTTCCAAATGACAGATCCGGAACTTGCATCATGCTGTAATATTCTCCATTTTGAAACCCATTTCATGTCATAGTCAACAATCATACACAATTCTTTCATTCCATCATTGTTTTTGGATTATAATGTAAGCATAAACTCTTAGAAGTATGGTGGCTAGAACTCTCTTCTATATGTATCATTGAATAATTTCATAGTATATCAAACCCATTTATTGGAGGTTGAGGGTTCAGAACTTGACATTTTTTTACATTTAAATATTGGTATGGTGGTGTCCCAGACCAGTTGGAGGTTTGAAATCTTATCATTATTAATATCATTGTTCGATTGTACATTTGGTGTCAGGACATATGCATGCAACAAATCGGTTCTCAGTTAGATTTGTGTATATGACAATTTCCAATTGTAATCACATGCTATTTTGGATTTGAATAGTCTTAAGATAAAGCTGCATCATTCTGTAACATGACTATGCAGTAATGGTACGAGAAATTGAGATTAAAAAAAAAAGAAAATTTAGTTCTGTTTCAATTGCTTCTTGATTATTTATGTTCATGGAGAAATCATAATGGAAATACAACTTCCTTATGATGCTGCCCAAACAGCTAATATTGTGATTGTTTTTGTTGCAGGGAGACCAGGTAATTGAAGAACAGCCTCAAGACACTGTCCGAACAGCTAACAAACGGAACAAATTTCCTGACAGCTTCGCACATTGGGTTCACCATGGAGAGGCTTTATACCGTTGATTTCGACTATTTTTATCATATTCTTTGACGCTCCCATCTGATACTCGTCTTCATTGACAAGGACTTAAAGATGCCAGCTTAAGCGAGAACAGGAGAATGTAAAAGTTGATTTGATTGATGCAGTGCTGCTGTCCTGCTAGTTTGAAGGAAGTATATGATTTTTATAGAGGTTGGCCAGTTTATGATAGATGAAATCTCATCAATGTAAATATTAGGATAGCTACTTGTGTCCTCATGAGCTTGGACAATTGTGGCCGCGATTCTTTTTCTACTTCGAGTTTGGTCCTTTGTTTATGTCTGTAAATACTTGTATAAACCGGAAATAAAAAGGAACAGTCATGTTGTTTTTCTTTTGACTAGATTTTGGAGGTTCATACTGAATTGAACTGTTTGAGCATGGAAAAAGTTGAAGCATCTGCTAATATTGTTTCATGTTCGCCTGTCAGTTGTTATATATTGATTGCCAAAATGTCTAGGAAACTAATCAACAACATTTTTGAATGATCCTCATTTGTTGTGGAAGCCGTATAATATGTGAATACAGCACTTGCTGTGTGGTTCGGTATAAGTGGTATTTATCAGTCAGATTATCGGCATGTGGATCGATCGACGTAAACTAGGCTGTTCAAGCATAGTGTAGGCATACCATTCAGCATGAACTTGTACTCCCACCAGTACAGGGCTTGTGTTAGACAATAACTTTCTTCTATTTTTGTCCTTTTTAGGTCTTTTTTTCAGATTAAATACATACAAACACATGATACACTTGGTATTGGTCTTATTTGCCGATACAAAAAAGAAAAAGAAGACTTTTTTATTCGACAAGTGATAATTTCTCAGTTCTTATTATTAATATTGTCTGAAACAAGGAGCAGGCATCTGAGGAATCAAGCTGGACTGATCACAAGAATAATGAAATCAAACCCATGACATTACCATAAGCTTAAAATGCACCTGCAGATAGCAGAGTTAATCTTCAAAAAATGTGTTCTGCAAAGGATGACATCATAGATTTTAAAGGGTAGAGAGAGATGCAAAAGTCTTTTAGCAATGTATACATGATCGGTTGCAATGCATACATGATCGCTAGCAAATGAAAACTTGGATCATATCAAGTTCCATGTACAAAAGAATGTTGAAGAGATCATTCTGTAGGCAAAATTATACATTGCCCTGTTGTGCTTACACATTGTGGTCCGGAAGGCATGGATTCTGGGACCTCAGATTGAATGGAACAACTGATGACTGCTTTGGAAGATCAAAGAAACACAAATCAAAGGCTTCAACCATAAAAATCACAACTGAGACACTTCACTGCCATCTATCGCTGTTGATGTGACAATTATCAGCTGAAAATGCTGACGTACCAAATGGATATATCATGTCAGCATGACATCTAACCAAAATATCCAGATGCTACTAAGTCTGATTGTTATTGCTTGTATGTTAGTTGGACAGTATAATTATTGTATCTCAGCATTGCTTGTTGCTGTTCTGAGCTAACATGTCAGTTGTGTTCCTCAGGGTGCTGATGTGCAAGTATACACTCCAAAATAGGGAGTAAGAATAAAGATTTGAAGGAATCCAAAATATGCTTGCTTGGAACTTGAGGAGGGGCTGTTGGTTCATATGCAGAGATCCAATGAACACTTGTGTGTGAGGTGAAGAAAGTTGGGAAGTAGAAAAGCCTGCATGACATGGAGTAAGGCTGAGTCATTCTTGTCATAGTCTTTCATCATTCAAATTGGAAACTATAAATTGATCCATTATGCCATACCCTGTGTGTGTCAGCTGTACTTAGCACTCTGCTCAGTGCCATGGCACTGAGCTTTGCACTGATCCTGCAATCAAGGAAAACCTACAGAATAAAGATTCAAGGTAAGAGTCGACCAGAAGAAATTAGTCATTGCCAACAACTTTTGCATGCAGAACAAGATCGGAATCAGTAATTAACCTTAATCTTTGGAAATCGGAAGTTGAAGGCATGAAGCTGAGCCTGAATTCCTCCGAATATTCTCATCTCCAGATCGCCGATCGATGAGCCTTGCATGGATTTTTCAGTAAGCAATTCTCCAAGGTTTATCGTCTTGAAGAAAACATGAACTAAGATTGTGACATTTGTGCTGTGAGGTGGTTGAAAGAAACCAGGAACCGTGATCAACCCCATGTTGCTGCTGTCATAAACCAGGCCGAGCTCAGTGGAGCTGTATCTGATGCCAAGCTTATTGGGGTTGTGAGCAACCACAAGTAACGAAGCAATGGCCGAAGACTGATTGGCTCCCTTGCTGAAAGCTGCATCAGAAGAATCAAGTTGAATTGCATGGAGTTGGAAGCTTGGCTTCTTTGGCTTGAGGACAAATATAATGATAAAAACTGCAGCAGCTACGAGTGCTAAGCTCAGGAACAGAAGAGGGAAGCAGTAGCTCCTCCCAGAGGAAGAAGCTGGTGACTCTGCCTCGGTGATCTCAAATGGTTGTCCACCTTGCTTGTCCAACCTCAACATCTCTTCTCCAGCAGCAGTGCGGTAACATCACATGACATCTGCAGTTTATATAGCCAGATTCACCTCAGACGGGGAAGGAACTGTGTTTTCCTTTGGTGATAAGCCATGTGCAAATACCTTTATTCTTTTCTTCAAAGTTGCCTCAGGAACTCTTCCTCGGTTACAACTCTTCAGAACTTGTTAGCTTGGGCTGTGGACAACTTCCTTCCAAAGATTTCTGCTTCACCTTTCTGCTTGTGTTTGTGATCAAGCAAGTGCATCATCATAGACTAACCATAGTTATCTCCATCACATTTAGCAATATTTCTGGAGCTGTCATAGGTGTGGAATGTGAATGGTCAGACCTCATAAAAGTTTCCATGATAGCTGCTCAAAACTATTCTTTTGAGTGTAAAATGTATGTTATCTACCTAAGAAACATAGAATTCAATCAACCTACATAAGAGGAAAGAAAAGTATTCTACATAATATATATTTTTATATTAAAATATATTCTTCTCATTATTCTATAAATACAAGCCTTAGCTCTCTAAGATGTAATTCCATATTGGAAACATTTCTTTCTCACACTCATTTTAGATCTCTCAGTAGTGATTCGAGACATAAGACATATCTCTCTGCTACTAGTTTTATATAAATTCAGCTTGAAATAATAATCTTTGAAGAGTCGATTCTCAAAATATAATAATCTTTAAAAAAAGAATTAACCAAATTCCATATTTAATTTAATATAAGACACTAAGATGATGTTTCATCTGTAAGATGAAACGAGGCCCATAAACTCTCACCTTTGTCTGAAAGCTTTGATGTGGATATGAAAGCACTGCAGCATGTTTTGTTCTATAAGACTTCATCACCCAAAAAGCCCATCCCATCCCATCGTTGTTTTCACCTTCGGCAAATCCAAAAGCTGCTTAATGACCAAGCATAGCAGATCATTGCAATGCCTTACTTAGTATACATGAACATAAAACACCAAACTATTTCTTCTTTGGTGAGTTCTCTTTTCTTTGTTGAACCCTTTGATCCACATAATGATTGTTTAAATTTAGAAATTCAATGAAGTTTCTGAACATGCTGCATTAGTGCTTTTGTCCACTCCACCACATTTATTTAATAATACTTATTGATGCAGTAGTACTTAGAAGAGGTAAACTAATAATAATAATTATTAGTAATATGAGAAGAAATAATTATTAATAAAAACAATAAATAAAAATATTTTTAATTTAATTATATATCAGTTTTTACATATTTCAATTTGTAGTTGACTCGAAATAATTGAGATTTTATAATTTTGTTGTTTCTTGTTGAATATTGCCCACATGAAATGTAACTTCCATGCGATATTTAAAATTAATTTAATAAATTATTAAATTTAATTGATAAATAAGGAGATAATTATATTCTTTAATACATAGGAGTTGTAATCATTCTTTTTTATTTCTATAAATTCAGATTCTAGACTAAACAACTATTTTCATCACCCAATATGCATCAATGCAAAGAGAGAGAGAGAGTAGATCGTCTCTCAAGATATTTGATCGGCTCGATCAACGGCTGTTCTTGGGCTATCGATGACCAATGGGAACCGCCCAGCGTCCTGGGACACGTGGCATAGTTGCATTTAAGTCTGGGCAGCATTCGTGGCTTGTTCCGAACATTTACGTCGTGTCTTCCACCGCTCGACATTGCTTCCTCCGCTCGTCTCTGTCGGTCGGTGGGCACGGGGCGGTTAGGGTTTTGCTATAAGTTCCTCGGGGGGGTGGAAGATGAAGACGCGGCCGTTGCACTGGTGAAGGATAAAACGGGGAGGTTGATTTCCAGCGACTCTGGCTCGGCGCCCTTGAACGTGGATCGAGGAGCCGCTTGGACTGGCGCCGGCTTGGGCTTCGGCGGGAGCGATATCATGTTGCGGACGGGTGCGACGGTGGAGGCGAAGAACAAGGTGGTTTTGAGGTCAGACGCCATTCCGCAAAAGGCAAACCCGGTCGATGAATCGAAGAAGGATACGAAGCCGCAGTCGACTCCGACCACCTCTGTTCCAGCCAATCGGAACGGCGTTAGTTCGGGCGTCGCCAGTGGCGTGGGCCGGGCGAAAGAGAAGGAAAAGGTTGCTGCGGGGGACAAGAACAAGAGGATTTTGACGCCAAATACTGGGAAGGGAAAGGAACAATCCATGATCGCTGATGAGAAAGGTGTTATGAAGAGAAAGATTGGTGGAGAACAGGATCATGCTCGAGTCCCTGCGAGGAAATCTAGAACAAATCCGGTGATAAAAGATGCCCCTCGTCATGAAAAGGGATACGATGAACTCGCGGACGACGAGTTTCACTGCTCTATCTGCATGGAGACGAAGCAACTCAATGAGAGCTTCAGCGTGTCGTCCTGCTCGCACATCTTCTGCACAAGCTGCATTAGCCAGTACGTCGCCGCTAAGGTCGAGGAGAACGTGACGGTCATCTCGTGCCCTGACCCGAGGTGCAAAAATGGGATCTTGGAGCCGGACATGTGCAAGCTTATTCTACCGGAGGGCGTTTTCCATCGATGGGGCATAGGGTTGTGCGAATCGGCTCTTGGCACCCAAAAGTTCTACTGCCCCTTCAAGGAATGTTCGGCATTGCTGGTACATGATGGCGCTGATACAGATAAACAACTGATCACCAACTCGGAGTGCCCCCACTGTCATAGGATGTTTTGTGCTCAATGTAAGGTGCCATGGCATGCGGGGATTTGCTGCAAGGGATTTCAGGAATTGGGTAAGGATGAGAGAACGAGAGAGGATATTTTGATGAGGAAATTGGCTACCGATAGCAAATGGCAGAGGTGCCCCCAGTGTAGGATCTATGTGGAGAAGATTGATGGTTGTATGTTCATGATGTGCAGGTGTTTTCTTGTCTTTCCTTCAGAACACCTTTGTTTTACATACATGCATTTGATAGCTTTGATTTATCATGAATGTTAAGCCAACCAATTTAGTTTCTTAAATTTCTTAATCCATCAGGAGTGATGGTAACTATAGTTGAACTCCATGTTCCTCTATTATCATTATTATTATCTTTTGTTTTAAGTGAAAGATGGAGTGATTATCCGTTATTTGTTTGATTAAGAGAAAATAATGACTTAAAATAGAACAAAGCACTAGATGGAGTGATGACAACTATAGTTAAGCCAAAACCAAGCTAAGACAAAGCACTAGCAGCAGATTTCCAAGCTCTTGTGTCATAACTCAATGTAAAGCACCCCTACTTTCTTGTTAGTACATATCTTGATATGATCTCATTGGTTTTTGAGAATAATGCTTTTCATATTCTTCATGTATGATCACCCTTCAGTTTGTCATTTCCACTCATAGTCTAATGGAGCTCAAAGGTAGCAATATGAGCCTCCTATTTCGCATATGAGAAGTTAAAATAGCGTAAAACATATTTCACCATTTTGGATCTTTTCATCTCAGAAAAATCATTGAGTTCTTCATGCATCATGTTCTGCATCAAAAGATAAGTGTCGTCGATGGTAAACATGCTCTTTTTATAGCCTGCTTTGCAGAGTTTTCCAGTATATAAAGTAAGGTTATTGAACATAGATAGTATTTTCTACCTTGAAGCTTTGCAAGGATAAAGGGTGTCATTGGCAAAGAACAATATATTTTGGAGGTTGGCAGAGAACAAGTCATGTTGTAATGATACAAAGAAGAGTATATAATCCTGCAAAAATTATTGTGTATTCTGTATGAAAATATTTGTAGACATGCTAGGCATCTTTACACATTAGGAATCAAGTTGATGATATATATATATATATATATATATATATATCTTTGGCATGATATTTCTCCCTTTTGTAATTAAGACTAATTCTGGACCTGTCTTGTAGATTCTTCCCTAGGAATTTTAGTGGCACGATCCTGATGGCAGGCGAAGACCAAACTTTTATATATGTTATTGATCTGACTAACCACGACTGCTATTTCCTTTCTCTGATCTCCTCATCATCTTCACTGATCTGTTTGTAGACTGAGCTAACGCGTTCTACCGCTTCATTTGAAGGTGTGGCTATTGCTTCTGCTACGTATGTGCATCTCCGATGACAAAGGAACTCCACTACTGTGCGAAATGCCAGCGCTGATCTCCCCCAGGTGGCCAAGAAACTTGAAGATACTCTTGTTGTTCCTCTCTGATGTCTTTCATCGATCTCCTCCTGCTTTGCCTGGTCTAGAACTAGTTTTTTCTGTGATGCCCTGCAAAATGCATCTTGGTTGGCTGACTACTATCCTTAAAACTATGGAATGATGACAGCTGACTTTGCTCCTAGGGTTAACTTGGTGTAGTTCTTGTATATATGTTTGACTTGATCTTAAAGACAAATATATTTTAGTTCTTCCCTTGGTTTCTCTTAAACAAAATTATCAGAATGCATTTTATTAAAACAAAAGAGAGATTGCTTAACGATATCTTCTACAACACAGTTTTGGATGACTTCACAAGTATCTTTACAGTAACTTGTTAGATGTAGCAGTGATTGTTTCTAGAGTAATGCTTGTCCATTGGTATATGCACCTATTAATATTGAATTTGATGGTCAATCGAGGTGGAATTTTAAGCTGCTATCTTCTGCTTTTTGAGATGTGCCATTTTGAAACTCGAACCGACTGAAGTCATGGACTTGTTTCCAAGATTCCTACAGAGACCTGTGTTGGAGAGAGAGATTTCCGACGCTCAAAATGGTGCAATAGTATTTTAATAGAGGGATTGGAGCTTGGATCATACAATCTATCTATATGTATAACATTTTCTGAATCAGATTTGAAGCCGCTGAGAGTTGGTGCTAATATGACCACCATCATTTTGCTCATTTTGTCCTAACTCGGCTGAATTGAAGCCGTGTCTAGTAGTCATGTTTTGAGCTCTGATCCAATAATAATATGTTGCATCTGTTTTATATTATGCACATTATCCTTTGGTACATATTACACCTCCAACTTGATTAATTTGACAGATGAATATGAGATTTTGCTTCACTACTGGCATTATAAGTTGATTTCATGTTCTGCTTCATCAAGGCTGTGCTTATATATATATATATATATATATGTATGTATGTATATATATATATATATGTATGTATATATATATATATATGTATGTATATATATATACATACATATA